GGCTGTCGCTACGCTTGTAGATGAAGCTTCGGGTGGGTCAAAAACTGCCTGAAAACACTGAAAATTGATTTTATATAGTCGACTAGAACGATCGTCCAATGAAATCCATTCTAGAAAAGGTGGCGATAACGAGTAAAAAATAGCCTAAACGTAGAGTAGATTTTTCAGTCAGATTATAGGTTGGCTGTGTTGAAGAGAACTCGTTTTCAACGGACTGGTTAATCTACATACTCCAAGTTCGAAAAAGCGTCCGTCCGTCCCTCTGCGCTACGAAGCACACTGTATGTCGGTTCTTTGCCCAACCACCGTACCCCTACGATAATTTTTACTGAAACGTATATAGTCAGCGTGGAAAATTCCTTGAGTTAAGTGCTTACCGAGGCACTAATGGCCCAGTTTTGGGTGCACCTTCTGGGACTTGGCTTTCGAACATCGGGGACTAGGCTAGAGGGTCCAATAAATGATACTGTAAATGCTTAAACAGTGCTGTTTAGTGACCGATTCAGTTTAAACTCAGGCTTTCATTCAACCTGAGTGAGCATATTTAGCGTGTAAAGGGAATCAGTGATTGCGGTCCTGCGGAAAAGGAACAAGTTAAAGTATATGTTTTGCTCAACAAGTTGCCAAGGCTTTAGGTGTGGCACGCTACCTCTGGTTAAATGCCCTGGTTTCGTGACTTCTTCGTGACAGTAATCATATAACATTTAATGCAGTACCTGGAGGCATCATTCTAACATACCGCTCATGTTTACTCTTCTCTCGTGTTAAGGCTGAGACCTCCTAGTGCTACCTAGTCCAGCGTCGTTATGCAATTCTCTGCCCTAATCGGTCGACCGACGAATAATTTTAAGAAGTCTCCATTTTTTAAGATGGTGCTGTTTCTGCGTTTGTACAAAGTTGTGGTATTAATCATAAGTATTGATAACTTTGTTCTTGAAATGGTTCCTGAAAGTCGTGCGTTAAATCGATAATTAATGGATACGTTACAGAACGTGGCAGTTTTAATGTTACAACAGGAAGATAGGGCGTTAGAGTATATGTGAATAGGGCGAAGTATATGTCGCGAGGCAATGTATGGAGCCGTAGACATACGTTGGGAACCAAACAAGACAGAGTTTATAATGTCGAATTCCATGCTATGGCATATTCCTAGTTATTACCATGCACGTCCACCTTTATACAAAGTAAAAATAATAGATATCTTTATGATCACTTTGCTCTGAACCAATTTCATACAGAAAAGTGCCGGACTTCAGTCTTGCCTTGAATCGAAAGCGTATTTAAGCTCATAGTTAACAAGTTCGATTCTGAGTACAAGCTCAGAAATGAGGTGTACTCATCCATGTGATTGCGGTTGTAACGAGATTTAAAGAGTCAAGAACAAGGTAATTCGAGATAAGTTTGATTACGCTCCTTCTTCACATTGAGAGAATTCAGGTGTGGCCATTTGGTCATGCCATGGTGAAGCCAACAACACCCAGGTAATAATATCTCTGCGACCACTCTTGCAAGGCTTAAAGACTAGTTAGAGTTTGTCCACGGCTAATATGCAACACCCTGACATTATTGTGCCTTGAAATGCCTACCACGCAGCCTGTCTGTCTGACACACACACACACACACACACACACACACACACACACACACACACACACACACACACACACATACGCAC